GTTCGAGCTTTAAAGCTCCGCCTACATTCATATCCGAATCTGAAAACATCGCAATTAATTTCTTTTAAAAATTCGAATTCGAATAAGCTTCTGTACAATATTACTTTCGTTCTGCAGCTTCACGGGCTTTTTCTCAATTAAAGCAGCGAAATAATATATATAAGAGACCGGCTCATTCGCTCTCTGCACGCGGGGCGCACACGCGTCGCCGCAACAGCAGCAACAGCAGCAGCAGCACATCCACAATATTACTATATAGTATACCGTCGCTGCACATCGTGTTTCTGGATGTATGCGTGCGCGGGTATCCAAAAATATCAACGCGATATTTTTGGATATAGACGCTTTGCGCGCAGAGAAAGAGAGAGTCCGAGAGAGAGAGAGCGAGAGTATATAAGCTCATCTCGTGTGCTGCGGCTCTATGTATGCATTGTACGTGTAACGGCGCGCGCGACAATAATATAATAATACCCAAGTGCAGCGGCGGCGGAAAAAGCTCGCACGCACGCGAAAACGCACTTCAAGAATTCCACAGCATCGAGAGACAAACAGTAAATGTATTATAATATTCGTAACATAACGATTTTTCTCCGTGTATATCCATACACTCTAATTATGCCGAAGCTTTTCCAACGCGTGTGTGCACCGCAACGCGTTTCGGATTACGTGCACCATCGTGGCGCGTCCCCTCTATACTCGTGTATTAATGAAAATTATAAATATTTTCAACCTCAACCGTCGGGATCTAGTCACGCCGCGCGAGATTAATATCGCTCTCGCGTACATTATATTAACGTATACAACATAATAATATAATAATAATATTCGTGGATAAAGATTGCATTTATTACGAGCAATAAAACGCAATTATATACGTGCGCGCGCGGCCCGCACGAGCTTTCATATAATTACAGTATCGTTTTTCGCGTAAGTGTAATATGCATCGGAATCACGATGGTTAATCAAAAACCAATTACTCGCGGCATTAGCCTTATATTGATAAATTAATACTTAATTTTTTCCATAAAACGAAAAATTAAATTAAAAAAAAAAGGCGCAGTCACTGGACGGTAATAGCTGAAAACCGGCGCGGGTTCGCGCTCGCGAGGGAGTCGTGAAAAGTAACTATATGTACTATAAAATGTGTGTTTATATACATGCAAGTATAGTACCTGCAGCAACGCACGTAATTGGATTAACCATATAGGCGTGCGCTATAATATAATGAGATAGTCGATTCGCGTGCGTGTGTGCAATTCTCTTATATGTATTATATATCCGCGTCTCCTCTCGATGCGGCCATCGCCGATCGCACACACTGCCGATCATCGATTCCAATATATGTATAAACCACGCACACGACTACTCACACAAACGGAAACTGTATACACACGGACTTTCTTCTTTCACTTCTTCTTCCTTTTTTTTTCTGCGACAAATTATCGCGTATTATTTAGATGCGAGCTTGAAACGGAGGTGCACCGCAGCACTACACTACACTGTAACACACGAACACAGCCAACATATATAGACAGACAGACAGACGGGGGACAGACAGACAACATTGTCCGTCTCGTTGGCACGCGAGTCGGCGACTGATCGGTTGGAGCGAGCGAAGCTCTCTGCCCGACGCGGCTGCCGCATAAACTGCGCGCAAAATATATATAATATATAAGTATATCTATAGTTGTAGTCTCTCGTTCTCTGTCAGTATGTCTGTGTGCGTATTTTGTATATAGACGAGGCATGCTCACGCGAGTCTCGACTTCGGAGCTTGTGCATTGCAGCGAGCCCGCTGCGCGTCTTTTTCTGCCTCCTCCTATCAAACTCGTATATTATAACGTTATGATATACATATCAATCGTTTCTCTCTGCTGCGTCGTCGCGTTTCGTTGCTTTTTTTGGGAGGCTTCTCCTCGTTATTATACGTATCTGCGCCTTGTACAGTTAACGGGGGCTATCTGCGTATATGTACAAAATTTTGATAAGCGCGATGTACGTACATAGGATATATAAATTGGTAAAAAATGTGCTTTATAAAAGAAAACGTAAAATAGTAGTTCAATATTAGGCGAGAAAAGCGGCTTTATCGGGGCGCAACGAAGAAACAGATATCATACACTTTAGTGTCAGGTATATGGACACTGGACAGCGGCAACAAAGGTGGAGCTTTCGGTTTAATCAGCTTATAGGTCACCCAACCGATGTGGCTGCAGGCAATTACTCACGGGAGGACGATTTCCGATGTGTATAGTCGACGACCCATTGTGTCTCGTCTAGCATACAGATATACATCTGCGAGCTATGTAATATAAGCCTTGCATAGCATGCGTACAAGCGTTGACGCACGACAAAAGTCATCGCGAGGGACTTACTTATACACATCTATACGAGCGTCGATATCCATAGTCGAGAGCTTAAAAAAAAAAAAAAAAAGACAAGTATAATACAGAATCACGAAGGAAGTATTACAAAAGCTGCGCATTAATGTAATTTATGCCAAGTCGATAAGCTCCGTACATTTTCCTTGCCTCGTTTTTTGCGCTCGCCCGCAGCTTGCCGATTATTATTCGCACTTGCCGCTTATAGTAGTCACGAGAGAGAGAAAGACAACAAAGCGCGTCGGGGCTAATGACCAGCTATACACACACTCGTAAAATTTCTTATCGTACCATTACAATATTCTCGTTTCCTACTTCTCATTTTGACATCGGAGGAAAATTGGCCGAGTATTTGTACGCGACGCGGGAGTAAGAGATATGTGATCGTTGTTTATCGTGACTGACCCCGCGAGTCCACACCATCCAGTGGCAATATACATGTCGGCAACTTTAGATGTACGTTATTAATATGGGAGATTAATCGTAGCGACGATGACGAGACTTGGTTTGCGTTAAACGCGGTGAACTCCGATCCTCCCCGTGTATATACGTAAAAGGTCGCGCGATAATAATAATAAACGGGGCCCTCGCGCCTGCGTATTATTACTTAATCGATTTCGCGTTATTACGTGTGTATAAGTACACGGCGGGTATATACGGAGGGCCGTTATAAATCTTTCCGCACGCGGTATGTACATACAGTAGCTGTATACACACGAACAAAGATGATTTGTGTGGGAACCGTACGTACTGTGCGCGAGGCATAATTTACTGCAGCTCCCGCGTAATTTTTTCTTTTTTTTTACAAATTTTTTTTTCCCTTTCATTTTTGGTTTTTGCGTATACTCACAAACGTATGTATGATATTGCGCGCGCAATTGCCCTTTTTTCATCATTGTACGATATTTTCGTCCTCGCGTCGAAAAAGAGAGCGAGAGAGAGAGTAGCGTAGCTGTGTCTTTGCGTATACTCGAGTTGATTTTCTGCAGTAGGCCTTTTTTTCTCCCGCGCGCGGCGCGGCTCACGACTCTATAAAGACTCTCACGCGCCGCGTCAAGATACGCTACTGCCGCTGCTGCATGTGCGTTCATTATTTTCTGCACTTTATTTCGTGATCTTGTATGTGTGCGGGTAAAAGCTCGTTTATTTCACACGCGGGAATGTTAATTCCTCGAAGTAATTGTAAAATGAACTTTTATAAAGTGAAGCCTTCGCGCGTTTGTGTGTGTGCGCATAAATGTGTGCAACTCGAGCTCTAATTCTGTATACATATGCGCTCGATTATCATCTTTAACTCGTACGTTTTTATAAATTATTTATATAGTTTTAACTCGAAGCCACGCACGTATACGAGTGTCAAAGTCCTTCTGTTTTTTACGTGGAATTCCACACCTGTCACAATGAACGTAAAGCGACTAGTTTTTTTGCGAGCAATAAAAATACATATTCAGAAAAATTAATAATAAATATTCTATCGAGTAGTGACACGCTTGTGCCATTTATAATACACGCACGAAGTTACGACATTCGCGCGTGGGGTGCTAAGAAATCAGCGAGCATATCACGCGTCCGTCGGTCATAAAACTGGACGCGGAATTTTCATATATCTATGTGTGATAATATTCTCCATTTCCATCGTCGTTGACAATTTTCTCACGCGTTACAACGCGAGAGAAACCGAAGGAAATTTTTGATGTGTTTCAAAGTTGGTAGTAACGCGTGCGGCGATCGAGTTATTGTCTCTGGCCGAGGAAATCGAGCATATAGCTGGAGCCAAGTTCATTTAATATAGAGAAACGAATCGATATTCTTGTACCAATGTAAATGTGTGTGACCCTGCGAATCGAGTTGCAGTTTCCGAGTGAGAGAGAGAGAGAACGAGTTGGCACAATTTATATTAATAACAATATAAATCCCTCGACATCGATACTTCCTTGCAACGATTCGCTCGTTTTCCTACTCGCGCGGCCGCGAGAATAAACGATAACAAAAAAGGGGGTTACCCCCCGGAAACGTCGCTTTTGTAACAACGAAGACAGAAAATCATTAATATCCTCCCGATTCTGTGTTGAATTGGCGCGTCGTACACGTATATATCGAACGCGCGACGTAATATACAAGACACACTACGTGGTGGTGCGAGTGGCAGCTTCGTAACTTCACGGCATGTGCTGCAACGTATGTCTATTTTTGAAACCGCTCATTGGTGGTGGATCCTGTAAGGTTCACGTTACAACTGCAATTTTGAAAATAAGTTAAATTACCAAGATACTTAGTAAATACGATGAGCAGCTTTCACGCACACATTGCAAGCTCGTCGCGATAATTGCAAAATTGCTTTTCCCCATATATTGACGCATCGTATTACGATTCTCTTTTGAAAAGTGACGCGCCCACATGGAGGATAAAAAGTTTCGAAGCGTAAGAACTGCGACCATATAGCATTACGAAATCGACACAAACGCGAGAGGTTTAACATATATTATTTAGCTTTACAATCAACAATGTGCTTCATTTTGCTCTAAAAATTTATTGTTTAACATCATTTCTGTAATAACGAGATAACATTGGCAAAACTTACGATATCATTAACAATGTACATTTTCAATCGATTAAGCTTTAATTCTCGAGCGATGCATCGGGTACTTCTTTCCTCGCTGATCTACGCACGCGCGACCGCGTGCCACCTCTGTGCACCGCGTCCGCGTGTCGTTTCAGGTGTCCCTTGCCCTTGAACTCCCTCGCGCAGGTATTCGCGTCCACGTGGACCTTGAGACTCTTCCTCGTGGCGAACGTCTTTCCGCACTCGTCGCAGGTAGTGTTGGCGACACCCTCGCCGTGTTCGCCCTCGATGTGACAGCTCAGATACTCTCTGCTGGAAAATTTCTTGCCACATCTGTCGCACAAGTGTCTGACTCCATTGTGCACAGCGTCCACGTGGTCTCGAAGATAGGTGCTTCTCGTGAACTTTTTCCCGCACGGGACGCACGAGTGGCCGATCCCCTCGTGCACCGTGACCACGTGATTCTTGAGATTACCCTCGCGCGCGAACGTCCTTCCGCAGGCGTCGCACGGGTGTCTCGCGCCGCCGTGTCGGTGCACCTTATCGACGTGGTGCCGGAGATACTGCCTCCTCGTGAACGTCTTTTGGCACGAGTCGCACGAGTGGCCGACACCCCGATGCAACGAGCCCACGTGCCTATCGAGACTGCTCTTGCTCGAAAATCTCTTGACGCATATCGCGCACGCGTAGCTGGTCGTAACGTCGTCGCTCGCGTCTTTGTGCAGCGTAGCGATGTGAGTGTTGAGGGTAACCTTCTGCGAGAACGTCTTGCCGCACTTGTCGCACAGGTGGCCGAAACGGCAGTGAAACGACTCGAGGTGCCTGATCAGATTGCCCGTGCTCGAGTATCTCTTGCCGCACAGTTCGCACGCGTTGACAGTCGTATCGAGTCTTCTTCTTTTATTTCGTTCGGCGAGTTGACGCTCGAGATCGCGAAAAAATTCAAGTTTCACTTCGTCCGCGACCACTTCGATTGCGTTTTGAATTTTGTAACCGTCGCTATCCGTTATATTTTTAGATGCTATTGAATTATCGGCTATTTCCATTTTGACATCGAGTTCACTTTCGTCATTCTCGTCACGTAATCGGTCTATAGAAAAATCGAAGCGGCGAAAGAATTTTCACAAAAACATTTTCACCGAGCGACGATTAATTAAACCACTGGATTCTACGCGTCTCGATTGGAATTTCGTTAACGACTAATTTTCCTGTGACGATCGAACGAATTACGCGAGATAACTGGCCAGAAGCGCAACAGTTCGGCGCTCGTTCTATTGTTTACACGTCGTACGCGTATTATCTGGCATCTTGCGTAGCACTGAGGGCTGCGCGTACGACGCAGTTTTTCAAAATACAGCGTATATATGCCGTATTTTGATTCAATCGTGTACTTACGAGTCTCGTCGCGAAATTCCCAAGTTATCATCGTAAACGAAGCAAAACTATACGTCATTGTAATTATGTCATTGGAACAATTACATCGCGTATCTTATGTCTAAAAAAATTGGAATATTTTTTTTTATCAATGATACACATTTTTAGCAGAAAAATGAGAAACGAACGAAATTCATTCTTTTGATGAGAGCACACAGCGTACGTTTGAGATCGCCGGACATATAACGTCAAACATATAAGAAGGACGATGCGTCATAGGTATTTTCTTTCTCTCTCTTTTTTTTTTGTTGTTGCTAATACATCGGTGTACTAAGTATGTGGGCCGAACCTCCGCGCGAGACGATGTATATCTATAATACCGATCGAACGTAACGGGACACGCGGCCGATGAGTAATTTTCTTTCGTATGTGACACTCGATACCTATATTTCTAGTATCTTGTAATTTTTTTCACATTATGATATCATCTATGATACAGCTGCGTCAATCGAACTGTATCGCATTGGACACGAAATCTGAAGAAAAGCTTCGACAGTTAATTTCGCTATTGTTTCGGTGCAAAGTTAAAAAAAAAGAAGTAGAAAGAAAGAATATCCATGCGACTCGCGCGCCACACTCGCTCGTGCATAATACACAGATTTGAAAATTATCCATGAGCTGTCCCTCGACGCGCGGCTCTGTTTTTTTTCTTTCTCTCTGACGCGAGAGCAAAGTATGTATAATAAATGTTATGCTCCGGTCACAACTTACGGCTGAAAAAAGTCTCACTTCGGTACGTGTTACACATAATGTAAGCCGCGCATACGCGCTCAGCTGCAGGTAACGCGTGTGGACACGTGGGATTACACGCGATAGCTTATTACAAAGTCGGCCGAGAGACAAAAGCTTCGTAAGCTTCGTAACGTATGCTACACTTATATGCAGTGATAATTTTATGAATTCATCGCTGAACGAAAACAAAACAACAAACTAGATCGGTGCCAAATTTCTTCGAGTATGCGAAGGCGTAAATATAGCTCGTCGGAGAGCTCTGCAACGATCGATATCCAGACAGTCCTGCACTGCATTGTTATTCCTTCTGTGGATTTGACTTTTCTAGCGTGTCCTTCGTACACAACGCCAAAGGATATCGTTTTATCCACTTACAAGTATAGAAGAGTATTTTAATCCGATCTTATTCAAGAGCAGAACGAAGGTCCTACTCTTTTGTCGCTTGAGTTTAAAACGATATCTTATATTTTGAACTATATGTTGACGTCGATAATATACACGTCATATATACGCGTAAAACGAGAAAAAGAGTCGCGAAAATTTCAAAGGACGTATTATGTAGTTACAACGACGCATTCCTCGTGCGCACAGCAGATTTGCGATAACAATGGCATGTATGACATCGTTGCCGTACACTATATAGAATAATATGGAACAAATGTGTAGCTTGTAGTATGAAAAGTCGTTCGATACAACTGCACGTTGCAACGAGTTGACTAATATAACTATTAGTAGAAATTATAATATGTAACGAAATCGTACCACTGCTGTGGAATTAAATCGATAAAATTAGTCCGAGTCTCGATACGCCCGCTCGTGACAAATGTCGAGAAGAGACTCGAGTGTCCCATTGTTTTGGTATAAGTCTGCGAGAAGAAACGCTCGTAATATATTCTTCTAGTCTTTATTATACAATACAACAGGAGAGAAATTATACGAAGAAGCTTTTTGTCCGCGATAATCTCATTTGTCTCTTATTTCTCCTCCTGTGCGCGTCTCTCTCTCTCTATACGTCGAGAAAGAGAGAGAATAGATGAAAAGATCGTTTCAGCCTATTTTCTCTATAGTAAATAGGTAGCAGCAGCAGCAGCTCATCGCTCGCCTCACCTCTAACGGCTGATAAACAGCTTCGAGTTTAGTGTCGTCATTATTATTATGATTGTTATTATTGCGGGCATTAGAGTGTAGCAAAAAAGAAGAAGGCATCGATGCTGCTGCCGCTGCTGAGCAACTGTTGCGCGCCGCGTTTTTCACTATACATATACGTGTGTATTATATTGTATACGGTCGCCCCGATGCGTCTGCTCCGTGCCATTCTTTCGCATACGAGTACACTGTGCCAGTTAAACGAGCGATGCTTATTATTACTGTTACTTATGTAATAAGAAAAATGTGCTTAAAGTATAATAGACCCCGCTGTACTTGTAGCTCGTGCGGTGTATGCGAGCGAGCGAGAGGCGCTCCGGAGCATAAGCATACGAGAAAAAGAAGGCTCGTTATATTCCATATACGCGGTCGCGGGCTGTAGAGGAAAAATCATCATCGAGTTACGCTGTAATACACGATTACGGGTTTATGGGGATGGAAGCGAATCGTCGAATCTGCCGTTCTCGATATGTAAACTATTAAAATATCACAAGGGATATGCACCAGGCGCATTTCACCTTTCGTATACTTGGAAAAGATTTGGGATTATCGTGGTTTCTTGCTACACGGCAAAACTTTTGATCGTGTTTCACGCTCGAATGCATAGAGATACATTCGCGCTCTGAGTCGTTCACATTTCATGCTCAGCCTCGAGCGCGGAATACCCTCGGGTTTTAATGAGTGTGAATTAATATTGAAACTTGGATTTAATTTAAGGTAAACTTATCATACTTCGAACACTTATAAAAATCGTTCATGAAATTTTGAATATTTTTATTAAAGTACCTTTTGATAGGAATTTTGATGGAAATAGAACATTAACTTTTAAATGATTACATACGTATGACTACAGAAGCTGGTTATATTTCTAAAAATTCAAATTATCAGACATGTTTCCTGAAACAAATTTATTATAACACGTCCAAATATCAGTTAACTACCGAATTATCACGAGACAATTCAACAAGAAATAGTTAGTAAAAGTATTAGAAAACCTGTTTGAAAATTTGAATTTTCGATGGGTAATTGGAATGGTAAAGTCGGGCTTCGAACCTGTCAGAGGCGGGTGCTTTAGACTACTCTACCGCCAGATGCGCATTTATTTCAGCTAGTTTTTGTAGTTATATACGCCTTCTTTCTCTTTCTGTGATTATGTTTCACTTGACTAGCTTTTCCCCAGTTTTTTAGTTTAGTAAGTTTTTATTGGCATCATAGTTGGTATACATTGCCATAAGCTTTTCACCATCACCTCCCAAATTCGTCACGCCATCTATTGTCAACTGGTAGTACTATCAAAGCTACGATTCGACCATCTATCTCAGAGTCACGTCGCCTTATCAGCTTCACTTATACGTGGTAACTGTCACGTGGACGCGCTGAATTCCGATACGGCTGAAAATTCGATCAAAAAATCTATAAAAAAATCAAAATTAAGAAGGATACACATCCTTCTTTTGCATTTTTCGGGCAGAAGTATAGATTCTTAAAGATAATTTTATAATTCATAAAATGAAAACAAAAAAAAAATTATAAAAAATACAGCATTATTCATTACGCTCACTCTCATAAAGTAGACATTTAAATTATAAATTAATGATTTACGTACATGCAAAACATTTATGGTTTTACTCCGCTGCGAATGTCATCAATTACATTAATATCATACTTATAATCATCAACTACTCGATTTCATTTCCCATTAAAAATAGCTTGTTACGTGAAAAAAGGTGCGAGAACCTGCGTTGTAAGTCAGCAGGTTGTCCGTCAGCTGCGCCAGTGCATCTGCAAAATGTGTCAACAAAGAGCTGCCTCTCTCTCTCTCTGTCTCTTTCTCTTTTTTTTTGTGCATCGTGCGCGAGCTCCTCCGTAATTCGAGCGTTTTGTCCTCGACACTTGCAACGCAGCCGCGCACGATGCAGTTTATTCTCTCCACGCGTGTGTCGCGCATCCTTATTTGTATATGTATTATACCCTCTCGGTAATGTACGAAAAAAAAACAAAAACAAAACGGCAGCAGAGCGGCAATGACGACGACGACGACGACGGCGGCGAACGACGACAGCAGCCGCTTAATTAATGCGATCGCGTGACCGGAAGAGGCAGCCTGCAGCAGCCAGCAGAAGCTTTACATATATATAACGCAAAGAGAGTGTTGGATAGGAAATACGCTCGTACACACACACACACATATACACGTATGCACGGAAACCATCACCAAGGACGATGCGTGTAAAGCACGACGTCGTGCACGTTCATGCATTCTTACGCGAGTATGCGCGATTTTTTTAATATTCATGTTATATTATGTATCCTGCGCTCGAACTATTATCTATTCCGGTATCCATGGCAACGCAAGTGTACGACAGATTTAGCAAACAGATTGAAGAGCGGAGATATTTTTTTTTTTTATTTACGTTGGATCGATTTGAAGAAGTTCATTATTATTTTATTATTTTAAACTTGATAACGTTTTTGTAAATAAATTTTGAAAATAAAAAATTTTAATTTTTTCATTTTTATTTACTTGAATTACATGAATAATTAGCAAGTCTCAATAACATTATTAGTATAGATATCAAAGGAAATTAATCAAATACGTTCACCCACGACGTTGCTGGTCGCCAAGCAAACGTTACACAGATCTTCGTTGCCCAGTCGATCGACGATTATCTCGCAGCAGAGCACGGGCAGTTGGTGGCGCGTCAGCCGCAAGAAAGAGTCCAGGCCCCGTCGC